GAGGTGAAAAGGAGAAAAGAGAGAAAAAATTTTTTTTACTACATAAAGCTAACAAAACTTAGAATAATATAACAGATGTAGTATATAGATAAATACTTTTTCCAAATATAAATGTGTGCCCTTTGATATGGTAACAAGAGCTCATATGCTCAGACTTCAGTTTAAAAGTCTGATCCTGTATTCTGGTGTGAAACTAGATACAGAGATCAGAACTAGCCCAGATGTAGAGGTTAGTATATTTAATAATTAAATGTATGATTAGAAAAATAAAAAAAATAGAGGATATGTGATAGATCTTTCATTAAGTAATTGGGATATTAGATAACTGTTTAGAAAAAAATAATATGTAAATTCTAAGAAAAAAGTTAAGTAAAAAAAAAAAACACTTCAATATGTTAAAAATGGGAAACTACTGACAAAGTTTAAAAAAAAACTGATAAGGATGAATGTCCTTAATATTTAGTTTACACAGGGGCGCCTGGGGGGCTTTAACCCTCTGCCTTCAGCTCAGGTCATGATCCCAGAGTCCTGGGATCGAGCCCCACGTCCGGCTCTCTGCTCAGCCGGGAGCCTGCTTCCTCCTCTCTCTCTGTCTGCCTCTCTGCCTACTTGTGATCTCTATCTGTCAAATGAATAAATAAAATCTAAAAAAAAAAAAAAAAAAAGAATTACTTAAAAAAAAATATTTAGTTTACACAAACCAATAAAAATTTAAGAGCATATCCAATAGGGAGTGAATAAAGACAAAAGCATACAATAAAAAATGAAATTGGCTAGTGTTCATATGAAAAAATATTCACTTGTACTAGAAATTTTTAAGAGTAAATTAAAATATAAATGCAATTTTCACTTAACAAATCAGAGGGATTAAAAGTGATAATATCTAATATTGACAAGCTCTGGTGAGATAGGTACACTTAAAACATTGCTGATAGTAATATAAAATAGTATAAATTTTCTGGAGGACAGTTTAGAATGATGTGTCAAATATTTAAATAAGAACTACATACTTTAATGAAATCAGAAATACAGACAAAGATTTGGGTAAAAGGATATTCATTCCAGTTATTTGTAATAGCACTTTATTGGGAAATGGTTATGCAAACACAGTATTTATTTTTGAGTGGGCTACGAAGTACGAATTTAACTGAGTTTTCCCCATGTGGCTAGTTGATCCAGCATCATACACTGACTAGTTCAAGCTTTCCCCACAGATGTAAGATTATACCTCTGTTTCCATATCCACAGTGGTTTGTTTGTAGGTATTCCATTCTCTTCCACTGATCTCTTTATTATCCTATAGCTAATATTACATAGACTTAACAGCATCATTTTAGAATGAGTCTTGATATTGGGTAGAACAAGTTTTTCTGCTTTCCTATTGTTTCAAAAACATTTTGGCCTCCCCCCACCTCCCTTTCTTACTCAAAGTACATTTTAGAAATAGCTTAGTAAGGTCCTCCCAAAGATCCTTTTAAGATTTTGGGTAGAATTGAATTCATGGATGCATTTGAGAGAAATGACATCTCTTAGATATTAAGACTTCCCATTCAATAATGTGACATAGGTCTTCATTGAAGTATTTTTTTAATGTGTATGCCTGTATCTATATATTTATGTAATAGGCACACACAACTTTTTTATATTTATTCCTTTTTATTGCTACTACACATGGTATCCAAAAATTTTAACTTTCTGTTTTTGGCTGATATAAAGAAATGCAATTGATTTTTGTACACTGATCTTATATTTAGCAACTTAGAGACCTCTTAATGTGTTTCCTTCCTGATGGCCCACTTTCCCCTATATTAGGGGCTATTTGAGAACTCTGAGGTGTGGAAACTGTCAAACATCATTCAGAACATGTGAACTGGGGTGAAAGCAGACAGATGGGTCACACCTTCCCCTCCTGACTCTTGCAATAATGGAACATGGAGGAATTTCCTCCGAAGTGGTGTCCATCCCCATGGGAGAGTGCTTATCTCTTCCGGGTAGAGTGCTCAGGCCCTATAAACTATTGTTTCCTTCAGTTTGGGAGCTGGTTCCTTTTAAGCTTTCAGGTTTTAGTCCACACGTCACCTTTTCACTGACCACCCTACTGGCTTCTGAACTCTTCCCTGTACTTTCCTTTATTCCCTATCACAGAATCCAGTTCATACCCTTTATAGCAGGTAATGATCACATATCATGGGTGTATGTTTGATCAAGTTCTTGTTTACTGTCTGTCCTCCCCATCTACTGCAGGCTTCAGAACATGCAGGGACCAAATCTGTTTACAGTACTCCTATATTTTTGTTACCTGCCACTTAGCTCAATAAATATTGGTGGACTGAATGAATGATTAGATATATTAAACATGTGTTTGAATTTTTAATGTTAATAATATATTGTACCATCATTTAAAATATATTTTACTGTATAATTTTATTTTAACTCCATTACCTTTAACATAGGCATCGCTAGTCCCCATTTGACAAATGAGATAACAAAGGCACCGGAAAATAAGTAACACGGTCCAAATTAACAGCTAGAAATCAGTGGAGTGAAAAACAGGGCTCAAATCACCTAACTCTGAATCCCATTCAAAACTATATAACAAAAGAGAAAGAAATAGAAAAGAAGGAGGGAGGGGGCGCCTGGGTGGCTCAGTGGGTTAAGCCTCTGCCTTCGGCTCAGGTCATGATCTCAAGGTCCTGGGATTGAGTCCCGCATCGGGCTCTTTGCTCGGCAGGGAGCCTGCTTCCCCCTCTCTCTCTCTCTCTGCTTGCCTCTCTGCCTACTTGGGATCTCTCTCTAAAAAAAAAAAAAAAAAAAAAAAAAAAAAAAAGAAGAAGGAGGGAGAGGATACAAGAGAAGATAGATGAGGAAGGAAAGTTCACTTATTTCTGAATTTTCCATGTCAATGGCACATCATTCAGTTTATTCTGCTAAGAACTCCTTAAATCTCATACTTTAAATCTTTTTGGAAGCTTCATACCTCATTATAACATTTCAGGACAGTAGATATATTAAGACTTCCAAGCAACACTGTTCTCCATGAATCATACAGAGTGGGAAAGAAAGGAGTTTGCAGTTATAGAATAAGTCTCTTTTCCTCCAATACACTTCACCAGTATAAAACTTCCTGGTAAAATCCAGTCAGATAATTATGTCTGATAATTGCAAGAAGTACTTAGAACATGATTTAGTTTCAATTTCAAGTTCCAATTCATTATTTTATAACTTTCCCTGCCTTAGTTAAAATTACACAAAACTTTGGCTCTCTCGTAACATTTAAAAGCCAGATGAGAGTATCTTCCAAGTTTTACCATAGTTGTGAGGGTAGAAATAGAATTCATTTCCATTGGAAGCATTATTGAAAGAAAGAATAGTACACTACATTTTGCTAGATATGTCTCCTAAGGTGAGGGAAAGAAAAGCAAAAATAAACTATTGGGACTACATCAAAATAAAAAGGTTTTACACAGCGAAGGAAACTATCAACAAAACAAAAAGGCTACCTAGTAAATGGGAGAAGATCTGCAAATGGTACATCTGATAAAGGTTAATATCCAAAATGTATAAAGAACTTCTATAACTCAACACTGAAAAAACAAATAATCCCACTAAAAATGGGCAGAAGAACTGAATAGACATTTTTCCACAGAAGACATTCAGATACAAACAGACACATGAGACACATGAGAAGATGCTCGACATCACTAATCACCAGTTGGTGAGGATGTGGAAGAGAAGGAACCCTCATGCACTGTGGGTGGGAATGTAAAATGGTGCTTCCATATTGGGGGGGGGGGTTCTTCAAACAATTAAAAATTGCAATACCCTATGTTCCAATAATTCCACTACTGGGTTTTTACCTAAAGAAGACAAAAACACTAACTTGATAAGATACATGAACCTTTATGTTTATTGCATTATTTTCAATAGCTAAGATACAGAATCAACCTAAGTGTCCACAGATAGATGAACAGATTAGGAAGGTGTGTTATCTGATGCAGCCAAAAAAGGATGAGACAGTGCCAGTTGAGACAACATGGATGGACCTAGTGGGCATTCTGCTACGTGAAGTGAGTCAGACAAGGCAAATACTGTATGATTTCATTCATATGTGGAATCTTAAAAAAATCAAACAAATGAATAAACAAACAAAAGGCAGAATCAGACCTATAAATACAGAGAACAAACTGATGGTTACCAGAAGGGAAAAGGGTGGGGGGATGGCAAAACGGGTGAAGGGGAGTGGGAGTTGGAGGTTTCCAGTTATGGAATGAACACGTCATGGGATTGAAAGGCGCAACAGACGGGATATAATCAAAGGTACTGTAATAGTGCTGCATGGGGACGGATGGTAGCTACAGTTGTGGTGAGCATAGCGTTACATACAAGCTTGTCAAATCACTACGTGTACACCTGAAATGAATGCTACATTGTGTCAGCTCTATTTAAAAAAAATACTACACTCAACAGTATTTGTACTTTAATCGATGACTCTCATTGATTTTAATCAATGATTCCGTATGTCCCCTATTCTTTCTCTGTTCCTAAATCTAATGATAAGGTGCTTGGTAATTTCCACTGATTCTGATTAGCGAGCTTCACACTGTGAAGTTCCAAGAAGGAAAGAAATCTCCCATTTTTCCCAGTCTCTGGATAGTAAAAGACAAAGTACCGGCCCTTATGTTAATAATACTAATTTTGTGATTTGGCAGGGAAAATACTTTGCTGCCAAAGGGTAATCCACACAGCAGAACTGATAGCTAAGTGAAACACTCTGACGGAATGGGACCTTATTACAGAAGCTATTGACACAAGAACTCTAACTCGCTGAAAAGTACCACTCACCTCTTCCTGAACCCAACAGAGTAATGACACAGTACTGATGAAATTCTGTCTGCTGCAGGAGGACAGAACAGTCCGTTCTTAATCTAGAGTGGTTTATCAGGGATGGACAATGACATGACCTAGAGCTTAGTGAGCCCCACGTCAGGACTCAGACATACCCATCACTGAGACATCATATTCTATCAGCAGTGTTGCTTCTTGTCCGCACTGTTTAAGAATACTCATGGCTTCAGCATGTGTGGTTCCGAGAAGCCGAATTCCATCCACACTGAGCAACCTGTCACCAGGTTTGATCGTGCCCTCTCTGCAGGGAGAACAGAGAAACAGTCTTCATTAGCAGAACATAATGTGGTTTAGCATTCACAGTTGCTTAGCTAAAGCGGTTCTTTCACGTGTTTGGCCATCCATCCCATTTGCATTTCCTTTTAAGCATCCTTGTGACAGTAAGAGAGGAAAGCTGTAACCCTGAGCAGAAAATTGCTGCAATATGAGTGTCAGTAATAAGGAAATGACTGCACATCAGTCAACCACCAAGTCACCCACACTTAACTCTTGGGGCACAAAAGTACAAAATGCACAGTTTTCTTTCCTTTTCTAGGTTTTTGCCAAAATATCCAAAATTGATTTGGCTTTGGAAAACTAGGTAAATGCTACTAAAAAGTAGTTTTCCAAAGCCAGGTGACCAGAAAAGACTGGCTTTGGAAAACTAGGTAAATGCTACTAAAAAGTAGTTTTCCAAAGCCAGGTGAGCAGAAAAGACTGCTGATTCCATTCAGTTTATTACCGGTGAACCCAAGTGGGACAGGGAGCACTGGTGAAAAATTTCCCTAGTCTATAAATTTCTCTATTGATTTATCAGGACATTTTGGCAATCATTAAATTGACTCAATCTCATATTCCCTATGAGAGAGGGAAATACTATTCTTTCTGCTGTGACCACAGACACTCAGGTACTGGAAAAAGATTCCTCAGATATTAGGGTACACCACTAAAATACAGCCCAGGAGCCTCCCAGATCATAACCTCCCTGTCTCAGGGAGGGTCATGGAGATGAGAAAACCAAAGGGGGAATTGCAAGTTTAGGATTTGAAAGGATAAAAATCTCTTAAATACCTTTCACCTAGATAACTCTCGTAAGAATTTTGACTCTAAATTTTTATCTTAAATTTTTAGATTCCATTTCATCCCAAATTAAATTGGTTATACGTTGCTCACAAACTAGTGGCCTGCTCTGACGTTTTGGTCAACCCCAACCTAAATGTTAATAAGGAACGGAAATGTTATTTACTTCCAGAAAAATCATTGACAAGAGAAAACAATATCTCTGTAGTCTCTTATTTTATATTAAACACAAACTTTTTAGAAAAGTAAGCTAACAGCATGAGTTTTGAAGGAAAAGAAACCTGAATTCCTATCCTGGCTCTTCCGTGGATAAGCTAGCTGCCAAGTCACTGAAGCATACCATACCTCAATTTTGTCACCTGTAAGTGTGGATAAAAAATACTTCATTTCGTAGGCAGCTGCGAGGATGAAATAAAATAATGTCTGTCAAGCACTTAGTACACTTCCTGGCACATGGTTAAGTGCTCAAAAAATAGTACATATCATTACTGTTTCTATTGCATAAGAGAAGGTTTAAAAACTGTATCCTCGTTTGAAACATAATGCAAAGTCTGGGGTAACCAGGGGATTTTTTTCCCAACCTCCAATAATATCGAATGGTAGGAGTTGTGGTCTCCTGCCTTTATGGAACTGACTTTTGCTGTGGGAAATTAATACAAAGACAAGTATCTCCTGAGACAGCTAAGTTGTGAGTTTACTTAGGACCCCTCCCCCACGTTTATGACGTGAAAGGAAAGAGCCTTTCAAATATTCTAATCAGTAAGAAAGAGATAGCTCTAGACACTGACAACCCTCCTTCCCTCTTACTAAAAGTCACTTTCAGAGGCGCCTGGATGGCTCAGTCGGTTAAGCGGCTGCCTTCTGCTCAGGTCATGATCTCAGGGTCCTGGGATAGAGACCTACATTGGGCTCCCTGCTCAGTGGGGAGTCTGCTTTTCCCTCCACCGCTCTCCCCAGCTAGTACTCTCTCTCTCAAATAAATAAGTAAAATCTTTAAAAAAAAGTCCTTTCCATTCTGACATACATAATCATCATCAAAAGGTAATAATAGTCATAAGAATGTGGGTAATAGTAACAACCAAAATGCCACCACCCATCTTTTCGGGTTAGGAGATTAGCAATTGGGGATGATGCATGTAAAGTGCTTGTCGAAAAAACCAGCCACCTTTTATTAAGTATCTACTGCATGATAGGTCCCCTGCAAGGCACTAAGCAGTCTTTGATAAAACTTTGAAGACCTTATGGGGCGCCTGGGTGGCTCAATCGTTAAGAGTCTGCCTTTGGCTCAGGTCATGATCCCAGGGTCCTGGGATTGAGCCCAGCGTCAGGCTCCCTGCTCAGCAGGAAGCCTGCTTCTCTCTCTCCCACTCCCACTGCTTGTGTTCCCTCTCTCGCTGTGTCTCTATCAAATAAATAAATAAAATCTTGAAAAAAAAAAAAAAAAACAACCTGAAGACCTTAAAAGATAGGTATTGGTGTCTACATTTTACAGTGGAGGAAACTGAGCTCAGAACCATTAAGTCACTTGCCAGACACATAGGTAATTAAGGGTCGAACCTTCTTTCTTCTGATTCCACAGCCCGAACAATTTCAGCTTTCACATTCCAACATATGTGCTTGCCCCAGCTTTGTGTAATCTATCTGGACAGTGACACAGAGACACAAAGTTTACCTGTCAGCAGGTCCTCCAGGACGAACGCATGTTATTACAACTGGACGAGATTTATTTCTATCGTCATGTGCTCCTCCTAGCAAAAAAAAAAAAAAAAAGAAAAGAAAAAGAAAGAAAGAAAGAAATACAGCTTAACAATGTTTTTATTAAAAAGAATCACTTACGAAATGCCAGCATGGAACTAACGTACATTTTTGTTCCTGTGCAGAGTGAAACATGGAAATTTTTTCCAAAAATCTTCTTCATTTTATATAGAATGTGCTTTTGAAGTCACAATGTCTCCGCCTCTCAATAAATATATGGCTGGATTCAGGGGTGATACAGAAAATATTTAACAACTAGGGTCACAAAAGCACGAACTACTGGCGAGTACTAGTCTAACAAGAACAACCAGTTATGAGCAAAGTGCAGGTGGCTATCCCTGGGGCCAATGAACCTGAGCTATGACACAGGTGAGTAGGTCTACAACCTGACACAAAGGAAGCAAAAACTGAAGAGGGAAAAAGTATATAAGTACCTAAAGCAAGAAAGAAAAAAAATTCAAGAGGCTGAAGTCTGTTCCATTAAAGTTGGGCTGTTCAAAAAATTGGGGGCAAATTTGACAGACTATTTCAAAACAACTACAATGCTTATATGGAGATTTTAGCTCTGGATAAGGACAATTTCTGCTCAAGAATTCTTGGAAACAGAGAAACTTCAAGATGGAAGGTAATTTATTATAAATTCTCTTCTACATCCAGGACACCTTTGTAAAACTTCCATACTCTGGGCTCCCCCAGCCTTTCCTTGAGCCCCCCCCAGATTGCTACTTATTAGATTTGAGGAGCCCATTTTACATTTGGACACATTGTGGTGTTGGAAGCTTCTTTCTAATTATTCATCTGATACCTTCTTCCTTCAGCTTTCATCTCCTGGTCCTTGTTCTATTATTTAGAGCAGTGACACAAAAATGGATGTTCTCTACTCTAAGAAACATTTTCTGAAAGTAGAAAACAGTGATCATACACCTGTAAAGTCTCATCTTCTTTAGGTTGGACATCTCCATTTTCTTAACTATTCTGCATCTGACCTGGTTTCTTTATACATTACCATCCTGGCTGCCCACCTGCGGGTCCCTAGTTTGCCAGTATCTGAAAAGTATGAATATTAACCATCGAATATTCCATCCCTAATGTCTGCCTGGTAGAACAGACTGGCATTTCCCAAACTTGGGAACAGGCAGAGAGGTCAACTTAAAGAATCTAGCCTCAACGAAAAATCAAAAGGCATTCACTGCTCCTGATGAACGCAAATGCTTCCTTTCTGCTCACTTCTACTACAAATGATTTATTCCGTCTGGCTGAATGATACGAACTCCATTTCAGTATCTCATTCTTTCCCTCAGTTTGATGGCTTCTTTCAAAGTTCCTCTTTACTTACAATAGGAAATTCACAACTTCCTCAGAAAAGCATTTTTAAAATGCAAATCATGACAATAAATTACAGCATATGCTTACCCACATTTATATAAATACTATTATGTAATTTCTCTTTGGCAAGGTGATCATAAAAAGATAGATCTGTTTTCTCCTGAAGGGATGCTGATTTAGAAAAGGATGGGGGGCCCAAGATAGAACAAGACTTCCCATAATTTTGATCTGGTCTACCTTTAAATCCCTAAGAGTGAATGCATGGCAAAGGGTGAGATAGCTCTAAATTTCGTGATATGTGGTATTTTATCAGTATTTGAAATAACAACCAAATTTAGCTTATGATTCTCCTAGTTCTAGACATTTGGAGCTGCAAAGCAAACCAGAGACCACTCAGAGACCAGTAGTATTCTCAATTCTAGCTGCATGTTAGTATCACTCGTCTGGAATGCTTTTTAAAAATAACCATGCTGTATGATCTCCCTGATATGAGGAAGCAGAGACGCAACGTGGGGGGTTTGGGGGGTAGGAAAAGAATAAATGAAACAAGATGGGATTGGGAGGGAGACAAACAATAAGAGACTCTTAATGTCACAAAACAAACTGAGGTTGGCCAGGGGGAGGGGGGTAGGGAGAGGGGTGTGGGGTTATGGACATTGGGGAGGGTATGTGCTATGGTGAGTGCTGTGAAGTGTGTAAACCTGGCGATTCACAGACCTGTACCCCTGGGGCTAATAATACATTATATGTTTATAAAAAATTAAAAATAAAAAAAATGTCCATGCTGGGCCCACAATGCAGACCAAATCTGAATATTGGGCTCCATGTATTAGGTGAGTAGACCCTATCTACAATTTTCTAGCTGAGAATGACTGATAAAGTTTCTTTGCCCAAAGTGAAAAGGAACTTAGTGGCAGAGTACTTTCCCTATTATTCCAAGCCATCTTCCTTAGCTTGGTGGCAAGGGCATTAACTCAAATTTAACTCTGCAAATTTCAGACCAGACATCATTTTTCATTCTATAGGTGAAAGGTTCTATTGTTTGGGGAGTCAAGGTTTTAGAACCTCTCACAAATAGCATTAGAAATGCAATTCCATTCATCAGATAAAAGCCCGCTTTATTGTTCCAACACCCATTCTAACTGGTGAAGAAGAAATTCACCAATACAGAATGAAGGTCCTGCATCTGTGATACTGTCCTCCTGATACTGTCCTCTTCCTTCCTGAAAGTCCTGGTGTTCTCACTGAAATAAGTTTAGCTCAAAATCCATCGATGCCATGATGTCTTCTCTGCCTTGATAACATCAACCCACAGTACTTTCTCATTCTGCACCTCTTTTTGGGATGAATCAGGATTCTGAAGGGAGGGGTGGGGGCCACCTTTTGAGCACAGACAACCCTTCAGGTGGGCCTCAAACTACTCTAAAAATATAAATGCTTCCTTTGATTCTCCTGAAAAATTGTACAAAATTCCACAAACTTTTACATTCAACTGATGTACTAAGGGAGTGTTTAAAGCCTACAAAAACGTGGTTTTCATAAACTAATACTGATTCATTGTTACAAAGGTTTTAAAATCAGTGTAACACTAAGAAGTCTATGTCCACACAAATCTAGGTCACATTCAAGTATTTATTCTCTTATTTATTAAGCACCTATGGTGTACCAGATAGTATTCTAGGCTCATCCTAGAAAATGCTTATTCTTCATGCATGTACAGATACTTGAAATTCTTGCAAATGGTGGGATGGGCGTTTTGTTGACATTATATTGTCGGTTGTCTTGAGGTGGTTATAGATTTCAAATGCTTCCATTCTTTTTTTGTTCCTAATGATAAATTACTGTTGCTTTAGCTCTTTCATTAGCAGTTTGATTTGTTATTGATTAACCATATAGCAACTAGTAATGAATATTTGCACCAGCAGTATTTTTTACTGCAGCTTTTCAATAATTAGGGTTGTAGGCATGTAGTTCAAGTGTGTCATTCTATCATACCTATATTGCAAAAACGGATTTGTATCTACCACCCTCTGAGCCAAAATTACTTATATACTGACTTTTTATTATATTCTTCTAGTTCCTTTGCACGGCAATGTGGGAATGGTTAAAGGTAAATGATGAAGGTACAACGCTCCATCTAAAAATAGGAGCTGGTCAGAAACAGGTAATAATTGCTGGTCTAAATCACTCAGTGAGTTCCACATTTTCCATTTTCTCTATCATTCACTTGGGTACTTTATCAACTTATGTCTTAAATTCACTGGATTATAATTCCCTGCAGATAGGGAGCTGTCTTATGACTCCCTAGTACTCGGCCCTCTGCTGACATGCTGACATGCTGACAAGTCCTTAATAAATATATGATTGATTTGCTAGATAACTGGCATGGAATGGAATCTAATGTTTAAAGCTTAGTTATTTAAGACAAGTGTATATAAGTGAACACATTTCTTTTATTCCTTGATGCATGTATGTTTATTAAGATGCTTAGTTAATTTTAACTAATGTTTTAATAATTTGGATAAAAATTTGACCTGGTGAAATATAAAATACAATAGGTAAAGACAAAAAAAATCAAGAAATGTGAAATGTTAAAAAAATTCTTTGATGCCTACATAGTTCCCTATTGAAATTTATTGTCACACTAGCAATTACAAGATGTTTATCTGCAGTTTTTAAGGTATGAAACTGCTAATAAGAAAAATAAAATATTGAAAGCCAGAATTACAGCTCAGAATTGATGATTTTATAGACAAGTTGGAGTCACTTGAAATCTTTATTATTAATGTCATTCCATAATAAAGTAAGGTAAGCTGATGCACATAGGTTCTCAGGGATTAGATTATCTTCAATCCATTTTTAGAAAGCTACAATAACAAAATGTATTTCAGGAGAAAATAAAGTTGCTTAATCCTAGTGTATTAAATCAAATCAAGCCATATTCATCAACATTTTTGACTCAAAGGTAAAAAAAGTATAAAGGGAAAGCAAAACACATGTTGAAAAGTGGTTAAATCAGTAGGATGAATGAATTGACAAGATTTACAAACGGTGACTTCTTGCTCTGTATTAATGGGCTGAAAACAAATTTAGGTCATTTGGATTTTTTGATTCCCACTTATTGTTTTATTTTTTAAAATAATGGTGCCAATATTATAAGGTGACTTTATGCATTAGAAACATGTGTTGTTGTTGTTTGGATGACTTTCTAGTTCACTGCTAATATTTCATTGACAAATCCTCCAAGAATATCAGATGATTCATATTTTCCAGCCACCACCTACCTCGTATTACAAAACCAAAGGTATTGCCTTCTTTATGTAATGTGACCTCCACCGTTCGGAAAATAACACTTGATCCTTGAACAGCTGAATGCCAGGAAGAGAGAGAGAAATGTAAGTCTTAAGTCATAAGAACACACCCATTTTTTTGATGTGGCATAAGACACTACAGATCCCGTTGCAAATTATTTTTATTATGAGTAATCAAGGGGCAACAATTTCTTTTCAAAGACATTGTTAGAAAAAATACTTGGAATGTCACACAAATACCATAAAATAGTCTGCACAAGTGATTTAGGCTTAGGCCCAAGTGGAGTCAAATTCATGGGTACTTATTTCCGTCTTATGTAGCCAGCTTGTAGGTAGAACATATAATAATCACATTGTTAAAGCTCATATAACAAGAGAGACGATCTTCATATACTCAGTAGAATTATTTCCCCTTCGTAAAATTTAAAACCAATTTTGATTTTTGTAAAACTTGAAATAATGTATTTATATTTATTTTTGCAGCTAATACAGGAAGAAAAAGTGCTACTCTCAAATTATCATTAATAGATGATGCTGATGCAGGTAGATTTCCTGACATGTGGATGCATAGCAATTAACAAGGGTAACCCAAATCAAACTTGGAGGGCAAAAAGAAAATTCTTTAGTATATTCAGAATATTACTGCTGTCTAATAAAATAAAGATTAACTTAATTTTATTTAATACCATCAGGCATATGTTGTGTTTGTCTGCTTATTGCTTCTATTTCACAAAATAAAATTGCATGATCAAGTTGATATATCTAATTAATAATTTATACAGTATACATGTGTAACACAGGGTATAAGTTGCAGGAAGGTATAGTAACTGTGAGATTGTTTTCTTCTGTGAGATTATTTTCAGGAAAGTGGTGAGTATTTCTGGTTATATAGTACACCACTGCTGAATTAATAAAAAACAAATTTCTACAAATGAATATTTCATCATTATGGATATAGGGATGTTTTTATTCAGAAAGACAAAAGAATCTGCAAATAGTAGAATTTGATGGTCTTGGATCCTAATCTTGAATTTGTATAATGATAACTAATTATCTGCTGCTGTGTTTATTATCAATGGCACACTTTTTACATTGTTGTTAGATCTTGAGAAGTTTATTACATGAAACTACCAACAAAAGGGGAGCCTGGGTGGCTTAGTCAGTTAGGTCTCCAACTCTTGGTTTCAGCTCAGATCATGATCTCATGGGTCGTGGGAGTGAGCCCCATGCTGGGTTGGGCACTCAGCCTGGAACCTCCTTGAGGGTCTCTCCCTCTGCCTCCCCCCACCACCATGTGTGTGCTCTCTCTCTCTCTCTCAAATAAATAAACCTTTAAAAAATAAAACTATCCACTAGAAATATATGGATAGACTAGATATAGGTATAGAGTCTATACATAGAATTTAATTGCATCTTTTAAAAGAACATTTCTTACCATTTACAGATTTTAATTTAGCATTAATTACAACTATTTTTAATTATCAGAAATTCTGAATCCTCAAAGGAATAAACATGATTATGAAAAGTACACAATTAAATTCACAAAACTGCATACAACGGGCTGGGATATAAGTACAACATGAATCTGGATCTGCTGAAAAACAACATAAACCTACAGCTGAACAAATGTTTTGGTATAACTGCTGATTTAATTAAATGTCATATTCTTGCTATCAGGGGAATTTTAGTTCATTTTAATCAGCTAGGAACAGTACACTCAAATAGCTGAAACTGTGAGGTACAGTTTTAATTAAATGAAAAAAAAAATGAGTTCAAACCAAATGTTTTCTTATTTCCATGACCCAATAAGCCACTTGAAGTAATTGGTTAAAAACATGATCTTTTTGTTCTACTGGAACAAATAGAAAGGAAAGGAAAAGATATGGGGAGAAATAATTAATGAGCATCTACTGTGTGCCAGAGAATCTGCAGAATGGTTTACAAATATTATTTCATTTAATCATTAAATCAACTTTCAATTATATACCACCAAATTTTAATTCTGGACCACCTGTCCTTGTTGGCTGGGTGTCTGTTCTGGGAATGAAAGACACCATAATTTTAATTTTGCTTGAGCTAAGTCTTGCTGATCACAAAATCTTACAATCAAATCTAGAGTCAATAGAAAGACTTTTAGGATTACCTACAGCTTTAGATTATCCACACTCTTGCTGTTCATCATTTACAAAACTAAATGTGAATGTTGATTATATTTTGATATACTTAATGAAATAGATTTGGTTTTCATAATTTTTGTTTGCATGACTTGATCCTGGTGACCGGGTTTACATATTCAGTAGCTGGACACCCTATATTGCCCCGTGAATTGTATTCATTACTTCACATTTGCATATGTGGACATATGGACATATCGATATGATCTAGGTAAGGGGCTTCCCCAAAGAATGAAATCCAGTACACAAAAAGGTTAGATTGAAATGAATTTTGCCATGCAAAAATTGTTGTATTGTTGTCTCTTGTTTCCATCTGTGAAATTGTATTATTTCACTATGGCAGATAAGATTTTTCTAAATTATATACTACTCCCCGCCTCCTCAACCTCTACCTCAACAGCAGAATAGAAGTTGGATACTTTCCCTCCTCCTTATCTCACTGTGCTGGCCTTCTATGCGACTTGCTTTGGGCAATAGGATGTTAAGAGATGTAAAAAAAGGTTGAGAAGGTGCTCAGGTAGCTGGGCTTGTCCTGTTTTTCCTTCACCATTGTCATAGGTGGAGGAAGAGCTTTCCCTGGGTAGCTTCTGCTTCCTCACACTGAATTTCAGGATGAACTACATGGAGGGTACCTGAGACGGCTTCCCCAGCTCCCCATTATCATCTTCATCATTGTTATCATCAATTACCTGTCTCTCTTAGAACTGGAATTGAGAAGTAAGGAGGCTATCTCAGGGACATGTTTTTTTGTTTGTTTGTTTTAAAGACTTTTTTTAGTTTTTTTGACACAGAGAGACACAGTGAAAGAGGGAACACAAGCAGGGGGAGTGGGAGAGGGAGAACTAGGCTCCCCGCTGAGCAGGAAGCCGGATGCAGGGCTCGATCCCAGGACCCTGGGATCATGACCTGAGCTGAAGACAGACACTTAACGAGTGAGCCACCCAGACGCCCCTCAGGGACATGTTTGAACACATTTATTTGAATTAAAGAAGTCCCTTTTCTGAGAGAAAGCTAGTCTGATTTAGTTGATGGTGTAACAGTGAGGACTGCCTTTGCCAATCAGATGCCGTGGCGGATGTTTTCCATAAAATAAATGAAGCAAATAGGTAGCACCAAGGTCTGACTGGAAACACCATTTAAAGACATATAAATATTATGCCAGAAACTACATCCTCTCCAATTATTTAAGCTCATGATAAGGAATGTTAGGTGCCAACTAAAAAAATGAATGACAATTATGTAATATTTCAAAATCCTTTAAGGGGTTATGTCACCGTAAAATATGAAGACACTGCTCCAGACCAAGTTTAATACATAAATACCTAAGATATGGATTGGTAATAGCCTCTCTAAATACAAAACACCACATAATTTTTAAGTCAAAAAGAACTTCGGAGCTCATGTAGGTCCACCATTCCTTTTCATAAAGAATCTGAATCTTTTTTTTTTTTTTTTAAAGATTTTATTTATTTATTTGACAGAGATCACAACTAGACAGAGAGGCAGGCAGAGAGAGAGAGGGAAGCAGGCTCCCCGCTGAGCAGAGAGCCCCATGCGGGGCTCGATCCCAGGACCCTGAGATCATGACCTGAGCCGAAGGCAGCGGCTTAACCCACTGAGCCACCCAGGCGCCCCAAGAATCTGAATCTTAAAACAGGTAAGTGGTTTGCACAAGGTCCAACTTCCATTTCTTCTCTGTCAGATCACATACATGCAGACACATGCACATGCATATCCTTTCTCCACCTCCTTCTGGACTCTGGGGGTGGCTGAGCCTCAAATTGCAGTGATTCCTGGGAGAGCTTCCAGTCTCGGCCTCGGGCGGCTTATCTCCCGGCAATCAGCTCTCTCCCCACGTCCTCCCAGCAGCGGCCTGCTCCTGCGAGCTGTCTGAGCTCAACGAAGGGGCTGCTTCTTAATCCCTTCAACCTCCCTGAACTCAAAGATCTTATTAATTTATCCAAATATAATAGAGACAGAGATAATACACAGAGGATACATCTCTTCCATCTGATTTCTATCATCGTATTCACACTTTTGTTTTTTAAAAATATCTTTTCCCCTTTTCCCATCAGCTTTAATGCATGAGGAAGGAAAAGCTGGTATCATCACCAAGTTATGATAGTTTTGAATCCCTGCATATGTCTGATCCCTACTCTCTCCTCTTTAACTTTACTAAAGCTGTATTTATTCAGGATGTCACCTTGCTTTTGGAAAATTATAACACCCTTTGGGCTTATAGCCTCTTACCTATTCTCCATTTGGCTCCCTAAAATGATAATTCTAAAAACTCAAATATGATAATGATGATCCTTGGCTTTCAAAGCCGTTAAAGGCTCCTTATCGCCCACCTGATAGTATCCAAGCTCTACCAATATGGCTTCCAAGGCCCTCCACCATTTTGTTCCTATTTATCTTGCTGGTCTTCGCTTTCCCTTTGTGCTTCAGCAACTCTAGTGTGTTGTTCTGTGTTCTTACTTCCTTACTGTACCCTCTGCCTAAAATGTTCCTTTACTTGGTGGACCTGCAGAACCTCCTTCAAATCCTCTGAAACCCCTAGTTCTAGATAACCCCTAACTCGGCAAATCTCTATTCCTGGCCTTACCCCTGGACAGCTATTCTAAGAGTTCTTTTTAGGAAGAGGTTGTGTTTTATTGATATTTATATCCCCAGTGGAATAAAAATGGTTAATCAAAGAGCATTAGCTCTAGATATCTGGATTCTCTTAACTCCTTGGTGATGGTCTGAGATAGTGATTTCAAAACAAATGGACTCTTGAAGTTCAAGAAAACAGTACTTTAGTGTAATCATGGCTAATCATGGTAATGATGGCTGATAGGCACTATGGCTTGCTAAGTGCATGGTGATGATCTAAATACATGATAACAGCCTTGAATTCCTATCAAAATCCTACATTTACTATAGTCATTTTACAGATGAAAAACCTAAGGCTAGGAGAACTTAAATAACAAAGCTAGAAAGGGGAAAACTGACATTTAACCAGTGACACAGTCTAAGCTCTCAATGCTCGATTCTACTGCTTATTCTTGCTGGAGATGAAAAATGGTATAGCAAGGTTTCTGAACACAGACTTCAATGGATTTTGTTATAAAAACACCATTGCATTTTCGGTGTTGGATTTTATGTTAAGAATAAAAACTCATGATTGGTCATATATACTCAATCCTCGAGTGCTCTCATCTGGTCCCAAAGCTTCAAATACCTTCTATGTTCCCATTACTCGAAATATACCTTTCCAGCTCAGATCTTTCTTCCAAACTCCTAACCCCAACTCCAGTTCTTTTCTTGACATTGCCTTTCTGCACGTCAAATAGACACCTCTACGGTAACATTTCAAACAATGAACTTCTGATCTTTTTCTCACAAATCAGCTCTGCCCACATTCTTGCCCACCCACCCCCCATTAATGGCAACCCCACCTTCTAGTTGCTCAGGCTTAAAATCTCAGGTGGTCCTTGACTACTCTCTTTCTACACAACCCACGTCAAATCTATCCAGAAATCCTACTGGCTCTACCTTCAAAGTGATCAAGAATGTACCTGCTTTTTCCCTACCTCTGCCTCCATCTCTCACCTGGACCACTGTTAACAGCCCCCCAACTGGCCTCCCAGGGTCTCCCCATTGCCACTGCAGTGTCTTCTCAACACAGCAGCCAGAGGAAACCTTTGAAAATAGACATCAGACCAGGTCCCTCCTTTACCCCAAATCATACAATGCCTTCCCCTAACACTCAGAGCAAAACTTAAGGTCCTCCCGGTGACCTACAGATATACCCCATCCTTTATATTTCTGATCTCCTCTCCTAACTTTTCTTCTTTCTTCTTTCTTTTGCTCCAGCCCAATCACCCTTAATGTTTCTACGACAACCCCAATATATTTCTGCCTTGGATCTCAGCCCTGGCTGTTCCTCTTTCTGCAGTCCTCTTCCCCAAGAAACGCACACAGCTACGTTTCTCACCTCCTTCAAGGACATTGGCTAGTGTCTCTCTCCCAGTGACGCTGTTCCTAACCAACCCATTCAAAATGGCAATCTTACCCCTCTCCCAGCACTCCCAATCCTTCTCCCGACTCTGTAGTGCTAATCATACTATCTTGTTTCCTTCCTATTATGATCCTGTTTTGTTATCTGTCTTCCTCCATCAGAATGTACAGAGCGGTGGCTGCATTGTAGCAAATGCTCAAGAAGACACTGCTGAACAAATGAGCTATTATCAGTTATTAATATTCAACTTGAGTTCTCACCAGGAGAGAAAAGCAAAGAGCTTTCTTAGGGTAGGGTTCGTATTAATAACATTAACAGGAGAGAAGGTGCTAGAACAGCCCAGCTCAAATGCAGGACGGCAGTAACACAGAGTATGTATATATATATATATATATATGTATATATATGTATATGTATATATATATACATATATATATATATATATATATATATCTCACTGTGAATAAACATATGGATTTTGGAGTCAGGGAGCCTGGGTTCACATCATGACTTGGCTGCCTATATATTTGGGAAAGATACTTTACTTAAGCCTCAGTAAAATGAGAATAATAATAATAACAATGCCTGTCTTGTAGTGCTGATTGATTTGTGTATTTGTTATTATTTTTTATGTATTTATTACTTATTTATTATATTATTTATTACTATTTTTATGGCATCAGGCACTGTTCTCATTGCTTTATGAACACTAACTCACTTAATCCTCATGACAGATCTATTGGTAGGAACGAGTACTATGCCCATTACCCAGATATGGGAACTGTGACACAGAAAGCTTAAGTAACTTTGTCAAAGGCATGCAGTTAGTTAAAGGTGAAGCTGGGGTTTGAGCCTGGCTATTAGACCCCAAAGTTCAGCACTGCTATCCTGATTCCCCTTATGATGAGGATTAAGTATATCTGTGCAAGTCAGGTTTCTTATCATGCTGGAGATTTAGTAAGTTCTGAAAATGTGTGGTTCTATTACTATTATTGTTACTTGATAATAATGAGTTTTGAATCTATTTTCATGGTTCAGAAATTAACATAACTATAGAAGAACCAACATAAAACACACCAAACATGCTTTTCCTAACCCTGGTCACTAAGCACAAAGCCTGGATGGAAATGAATGCACAGAACTTATAAATATGTTGACTGTTCATGAAAGTAGCTTAAATGGCAAATATGATGCACACAGATCACCTTAATGGAACACAAATCCTACATAATTTTATTGTTATCTGTGCTCTTTTTAATTCTTCCGGAGCGGGCTATATGTTTATCAATTCAAATAATTTCTAAATACCAAGAAACCCTGCTCTGTCATTCCTGTACTGAGACAATGTTGGCCAAAGGAGGGGGGCGGAATGGAGAACCCATTGTTTTAGGCAAAAACGTGGCCCAGCTGTTCTGACCCGGAGTTGCGATTACTTACAGACTGGCGGCAGCTCATACTCGACTTCAAGAACCACTCTTTCGCCAACGTTCTTCAGCAAGCTGATGATCTCATCATGGCGGAATTTGGCCAGGTTGATCCCATTCACTGCTTTGATGTAGTCCCCTACATCCAGCTGGTCACTTCTGCAACATAGGGAATGTCGCTTCAGCGGACCCGTCCTCTCTACAGGCCTATGTTTTCCACGTTCCCTTCGTGAAAATGCACCCAATCCCCAAGGCCCGTGTGGCCGGAGCCCCTGCCTTCTAGGAGCCCCTGCCTTCTAGGGTGCGGCTGTCCCCTCTCCCCGCCCCCAGCCCCGGGAGTAGGAGTACAGCTAAAGGTGGATGAGAGATTCAGCGATCCCTCCCCTGCTGACCGGGATACTTTGAAAGCCCTCTACAGCATCTGCTGTGGTCTCTAATTTTTTCCTAACCCATTGCGTCTTTTATTTTTAAAGAGCACCATGACACAAAATAAAGAGGTTTCTGGTTGCTGTTTGGTTGCTCTGCCTGTAAAGAGTTGGTTCTCTAGGAACAGAGTATCCAGATCCTGGCACACCAGGGATAAAAGGGACTTTTTCTTCCTTTTTATCTCTATCGTTTTGCTGCCAGCCTCCCAGACATTTCCTAGCTCTCAAGATCTTCCCTGGGAGTTTGCTGAGGGCAAGAAGGGTCAGCTTCTTTTGCTACTTATTGCTTATGGCAGGATTAAAAAAAAAGAAAGAAAGAAAGAAAGAAAGGAAGAAAGAAAGAAAGAACAAATTACAATGAAAGCATTGGGTTTCCGTACCGTTCTTGCCTCTCCCTGGCACCATAATAGGACTGTGGCTAATTTAGGGGTTTTAGGCAGACTTTCTTTTTTTTTTTTTTAAAGATTTTATTTATTTATTTGACAGAGAGAGATCACAAGTAGACAGAGAGGCAGGCGGAGAGAGAGAGAGAGAGAGAGAGAGAGAGAGAGGGAAGCAGGCTCCCCGCTGAGCAGAGAGCCCGATGCGGGACTCGATCCCAGGACCCTGAGATCATGACCTGAGCCGAAGGCAGCGGCTTAACCCACTGAGCCACCCAGGCGCCCGTAGGCAGACTTTATTTCTAAGGCAAGAGCAGGCAGTGAGACCAAAGACAGTCCTTACAATCTGCATCACGAATGAGGACCTTCAGTGATACTCTGTCCCCAAACAGAAACACCCAAATGCATTTATTTTATATAAGTCCAGCTCTAACCATTCCTCTTTGGCGAGCTCTCCTAATCTGCTCCCGCCTGCGGTCCCTCCATGCTGTCCCTCCTCCCTCGGGTTTACTCACTCTCACTGGACAACTTAGCCACCTGATGCTCCGTGACAATGCTCACCCTGTCGCTTTTTACTATCACGCAATGCTGTTATGGTTGCCATGCTTTTCACGCTTTTTACACCTATCTCCTCTAGTAAATTATAAGCCCCCCTAGGGTAGGGATCTTATCTGTAATTATTTTAGTTTACTACTTGGAAAAAGGTAGTGCCTTCAACAATGAATAGTTGGGCACTGATCATGTGACTGGCACAGCATCACCTTTAATTATGGCATCAATACAACTGAAGATGGCATTTCCCCCTTCTATTTACTCTCGCTTCCAGGCTATGTAGGAAAAAGTTCTGGAGATGTACGAAGCCCTAGCATCACAGATGGGCCATGACTGTTATAAAATAAAGGAGGCCATGGGGGCACAAAGAAGGCTCTCTCCTCCTGAGAAAAGGAGATTAAGGTGCTTGTGTTGACATCAGCCTACTTTATAAACAATACCCAGATTATGGAGCAATCAATTAGATGAAGCTCATATATTGTACAACCAAGCTGATCATCTAAAGTAATCACCATTCTCAATGATACTTTATAAAGCAAGAACTCTAAAACTTAATTTGTGATTTCGTGGACAAGACTATCAGTGCCCAGGATTTAAGACCCATGAACCTCACTTATAATGAAACCTGATTGTCCCCTCTAAAGTACTTGGTGACTCCGTCTGTAAAGCGAGCCCTCTTGTACCCAGCAAGCAAGACATTCTGCCTTTGGCCATGACTAGGCCAATGTGCCGTTCATCAGAACAAGGACACCGTGAGACCGTGAGACTTCATCTAAGCTTTCTATCCTTTTGGAAGTTGTGTCTTTGTCTTGATGAAAGGGAAGTTCTCACAGGTAGAAAAGCAGAGACGATATGGGACAAGGTGAACTGTCACTCAGACACTTGGAGCTGGCCTCCCTCCTCCTCTAGGCTTACCACATCCCTCCATGCCAGGCTCCTGAGTGCCCATTATATGGCTCATCTGTCCCGTTTCTGTGATCGGAGTGTCTCAATCCTACAGCAGCCCGTCTGCTGTTCAGCGGCACGTTTGGGGATTGACAGCCACACAGGCTTTTTTTTTTTAAAGATTTTATTTATTTATTTGACAGAGAGAAATCACAAGTAAGCAGAGAGGCAGGCAGAGAGAGAGGAGGAAGCAGGCTCCCTGCTGAGCAGAAAGCCCGATGTGGGGCTCGAACCCAGGACCTGGGATCATGACCTGAGCCGAAGGCAGCGGATTAAGCCACTGAGCCACCCAGGCGCCCCACACAGGCTTTTTTAAAATGAAAGTCTTCTGCGGGCCTGGTGGCTCCCCGGTGGCTCGGTACAGGCTTCTAAAAACATGCCCCAGTACGCTTCTGCCCGGCAGACGGCAGCTGTCATATTTATTTATTAGTGACCTTTTCTGATGGAGCCTCAATTTTTGCATTAATCACCCCCCTGTGTTCCTTTTCCTACACCCCTCTGAGATGCATTACCTAGCAGCAATTCCTCCTTGCCGCAGGTTCGAGACTCTGGGCTTGCCGTCCTTGTCAACTCCGCCCGATACCGTCAGCCCGAGGGTGGTGCCCTCCTTCTTCATCAGCTCAACCACGGTGGAGCCTTTGAATTCCTCTGTGAAAAGAAGAGCATTTGCCTTATTAAATGGCAGTCGAATCACGAGATACTGTTGCGCCTGGTGAAGGGACTCCTTCCCATAAACTCTCCCTGCTTTTTCTTTTACGAGAAAAGATCTGCAGCCTCTTTTCCACCACAATTTGCGGAGTATCTCAGAAAGACGTCCATGCAGGTTAAGCGGAGGAGATATTCCATTAGAGGTTATTAAAATGGGTACCAGTGGGGTAGTTCCATCTAGGGTCACAATAAAGAGGCCAGCATGGATTATATGCAAATGACAATATCTGCCCTTTGTTTTCTGTCGTTCTCAAGCGACTTTCTCGGGTTTCTCTCCTTGCAACTCCAGCGGGAAGAACTGAGAGTTGCAAGATAAGGGCCTAGAACAGAGTTTTAAGTAATGATACAACAAGAATGATTTTAAATAATAATATATATTATGCAGCAGCAAACTCCAAGCTCTCGGTGCGATTCGGCTGAATACAGCAATGGACACAAGAGAAGAGAGCTGTCTATAGGTTCAAGAAAAATATTCCTTTGAGAGGCAGGGCAGAAGGTCATGGCGGGGAGGGAGGGAAAAAAATGAAACAAGTTGGGACCGGGGAGGGAGACAAACCGTAAGAGACTCTTAATCTCAGGAAACAAACTGAGGGTTGCTGGGGGGAGGGGGGAGGGATAGAGTGGTTGGGTAGTGGATACTGGGAGGGTATGTGCTATGGTGAGTGCTGTGAATTGTGTGAGACTGATGATTCACAGACCTGTACCCATGGGGCAAATAATACATTATATATTAATAAAAAAAAAAATAAAAAAAAGAAAAATATTCCTGACTCTCTTGTTTCTCGTCTTTCAGGAAACAAAGTATAATGGCTTCAGGTAACAACTCATATCACTTTGTACAGGACATGTCACAGTATGGTAAGGCAGGGTTGATCCTCAGAATCCCCAGGTAACTGCCATAAATCCCTCATTCTACACTTTCAAGTTTAAGATCTCACAGATCTTGTCCACACAATGTCTCTACACGAAGAGGGGACCCAAATCTTCTGATTTTAGGCACAACAGAAAGTGAGAGAACTTTGAGCATATCCTTTCTTTCAGAAGTAAAAATGGGTAGTCAACCTTGACCTACCCAGAGGTTAATTATGATAAACGCCGTATTCAAGTTCTCTGTTACATTATTCCCCGCTCTGGATACACACGTTCTGGAGAGGGATGGGGAAATTCAAGTTGCCCAGTTCCTCCTGAATCACATTACGAATTTTAGGAGTTATGATCTTCTAGGACATCAAAGACACTCATATTAAAATGCAAGAATGGGGGGCACCTGGATGGTTCAGTGGGTTAAAGCCTCTGCCTTTGGCTCAGGTCATGATCTCAGGGTCCTGGGATCGAGCCCCACATCAGGCTCTTTTCTGCTTACCCCCCGCCCCCCTGCACACACACACCCCCCACCTGCCTCTCTGCCTCCTTGTGATCTCTGTTTGTCAAATAAATAAATAAAATCTTTTTAAAAAAACGCAAGAATGGACTTTCTTCTTTGAAATTAAGAAACCCAAAAGGTTACTGGTACACCTCTTCTCCTTCCTTAATTACACATAACAGAGTTAATTATTTCAAAAATCTACAGGAATGCTTACCATAAAGTTTTTAAATTGTTGCTGCTGGTATACCACCTCACTAGCCAATGAAAAAACTCAAATCATGTTTGGGAGGGAAATTTTCACTCATCTGACCTAGTAAGGAGAACAGAGTATTCTAGGAGGGAAGGCGAGGGGCCAGGCCACTGATTTCCTCACCAACATACTGAGTCACATTCCAGGCAAGGCTTTCAAGATTGTCAGGTCCTGTGACCTTAGCAACCTAGAACACCCACTGTTTCATGATAGACTCACGACCCTGCATATGTGAGTGGTACTGCTTTTTAAAGTAGAAGCCAAGGAAGAGTCTATGAGTGTGAATGATATCAGCTTCATTCTCTACATTTTGTATGAGAGACCAAACCATAATTGAAATTCAAGGATCAAAATTCTTGTCATGCGTATACAAGCACAGGGCCTTTTCCATCATTTACCAGAAGCGTTTGAAACAAAATTTCATCACTGTATGCATTTAACCTGTATCCCCTCAAATCAGAATAAAACAGCCCCCTCCTCCCATAAAAACATAAATAAGCTCAGAGCCTAACTTAACAACCAGGCCCTATAAGTCCTTCTTGGCAGGAGGCTAGGTATACATTATGTTCAAAATTAGGTTAAATAGTTAAAGTAATGAGGATGACATAGCAGATGATGACTAGACACAATATAGAGGCATAATGTGCTCAACGATTTTGCCCAACAGAAGAAATCTTTGCATTTTCTTTAAATATGTAGATCGATCCTGTATATTTAAACATTTGGTCACAGATCTGTACTTGAAGAATTGGAAGGATAGTTTTTTAAGGGCCTATTTCAAAGGTCAATCAGAAATGGACAATGAAGTAACTATGAAACACTGATAACTGGTATGGGAGAAATAAGTTTTAACTAACAGGACCTTTATTCCTACTCAGGTTTTCAAGAACATGTTTCCTGCCTAAAATGGGATACCTACACAGGTGCAGACTTATGGGATGTGGACAATGCAGTTTTCTCCAGAAGGGACCCAGGTCCTTACCAGGCTTCTGGCTGAATCCTGGAAATCTAGAAAAAGCTTAATTCCTTTAGTTTAATTTGTTCTTGTTAAAATATAAATCTATCTGGGCTTCTTTTTAAACTGGTAATAGTCAATTACCTTCTTATTTTAAAATCTTTCCAAACTTTCTCCAAGTGCTAGTTTTAGTAACTTGAAAGAGAAAATATTGACACGCCAGTTAATTGAGTAATTTGTGCATTCATGGATTTGAGCATTTACTGAGTGCCTACTATGAGCCAGACAATGAAACTCAAGAGATGAAAAAGTCACAGATGCTTGCAGCCTAATCACAGAGGCAAATGAGTCCCAGACCACCATGTCAGAGTGTGTTCTGGGGCAAGGTGGCCACATGAGAGACGGGCTTGGCTATGATGTAAAGGGAAGAGCGGCTGTTCCCAATGCTGCATCTATTTCACAATTTTGTCTCCTGTCTAATCTGTCTGTATTTATCGACCAGGATAAGCTGAGCAGAACAGACTAAAGGAGGAATCTAAATTAGGAAAAACTCAGGAGTAAAGAGAGAATATTGTTGCAAGAAAATGTGCTGAATCATGTGAATGTTAACTGCCAGTAAGCATATCTAGACCCCAAAGGACTGACTAAATCTTCTGCGGGTGTTTCGAAGGAACAGGAGAAAAGCAGCAATTGGGAGAGGGAGGAACATGCTTCTGGAGTTTACTTCCTGCTAATCTGCACTCTCCATAAGATGAATCGATCATGTTATGTATTTTTTGGTGTTTCATGTTTGCATAATGATCTAATGGCAAAGAGAAATGATGACAGATGCATGCAATTGCATGAGTTCATGTACATAGCAAAGCTTACTGAACAAAACTCTGCAGCGAAACACTGGAACTTAGGCTAGTCAATATGTAGTGACAATTTCTTTCTTTGTAATTTAAATTGTAAACATCCCTTCCCAAATTAAGAGGACCACGTACAGAAGACTGTAGCTTCCCCAAATTAGCAAGCAGCACAGGGAACAGATGATGCCCAACTGGCAAGGAATGAGATGGTTCTGGATTAGACGTTTTCCTTCATCACCATATTTAATTATCTTAGCAAAGAAATTGCAGGTTTATATCTGTATCTGTACTCACTCAACATAGCCAACAAGAATCACACCGATAGGGGCACCTGGGTGGCTCAGTGGGTTAAGCCTCTGCCTTCGGCTCAGGTCATGATCCCAGGGTCCTGGGATCAAGCCCCGCATCAGGCTCTCTGCTCAGCAGGGAGCCTGCTTCCTCCCTCTCTCTCTCTCTCTGCCTCTCTGCCTACTTGTGATCTCTGTCTGTCAAATAAATAAATAAAATCTTTAAAAAAAAAAAGAATCACACCGATAGAATGGGATTTAGTTGTTTGCTGTTTCCCTTGGATTTGTAATTCAATCTTCTTGATTACTGAACTCCAGAAAGCTTTAAGGAAAGTAATAGTGAGGCCTGGTGAGAGCAAGAGAATTACAAAAAGTTCTTGCAAACAAGGAAGTTCAATAACATAGAGAGTTACAAAATTAATATGCAGGAAACCATGTCCTTTACATAAACAAATAGATGGTTAGAAGTTATCATAGAAGGAAAAAAAAGCCATTTACAATAAAAAAAAAAAAAAAAAAATCCCAGGAAAAAATTTAATGAAAAGGTACAAGATTTACATGAAGACAACATCAAAAACATTTCTGAGGAACAGAAGATGAGAACAAATGTAAACGTACTGCACTGATTCATTCAATAAAAAAATGAGCACTTACTACATGCCATGCATCGTTCTAGGCTTTGGAGATATAAAACTGAACACAACCAAGAAAACCCTTGCCATCTAGGAATTAATATTCTAGTAGGTAGCATAATCTAACATCAAAAATACGTCAATTCTCTTTAATCTCTGAAGTTCATAATATCAATAAAAATGCCAATAAGATTTTTTGGACCCAAGATATATTTAATATTATTGCAAAAATGGGACATGCATCCTTGCAAAGATTCTGCAAATAATTGTTGTTCCAAAGTAGAGCTGTTTAATGTTGCTATGAAAGAATATAGAGAGCCTGTCCATGATGCCAACTGAATGAGGTACTGGAGTCATGACTGGAGGTTATGCTATTAATTATAGATACCCAGATACTCTGGAAGCATGAGACTGGAGTGGGAAGGTTGGCAAAACCTCTGTGTATGCCTTGCAGATGTTGGTCAGAGTCTGGACCTTCTAGGCTTTACCAAAGGAGAGAAGCAGAAAGAAAGAAAGGAAGGAAGGAAGGAAGAGAGGGAGGGAGAGAGGAAGGAAGGGAGGGAGAAAGAAAGAAAGAAAGAGAGGGAGGGAGGAGGGAG